TGCTTACTCTCCAGTAGCTCCCTACCACACTTATTTAAAACCCCAATTCCCTGCCTAATCTATCAGCCCAACTGGTGTGGCCTTTCCCTTCCCCTCTTTGTCACTGTATTCCCAACACATGGACCTTTAGTGTTTCTCAGGATACCAAGTTCTTTCCTGGCCTTTGTACCAACTGTTCTGCTACCTGAAATTTTCTTCTCCCAGCTCCACGTATAATTGGATCCTTGTTGTCACTGATGTCTCAGCTCAACAAATGTCATTTCCTCAGGGACCCATTTCCTGGCTGCCCAATTAAGTGAGTCTCTTTGTCTGTACCTGTTCTATACCCTTGTCATTTTTTTCAGCTCATTTGATTCTTAATTTTTTTCTAGTAGCAGTCTCCCTCCATGCAAGTGCTATACGAGTAGGAATCTTGACTTTTTCTGTCTTAGCAGCTTGAACGTACTGGGCCTAGAGTAAGTGCTCAATAATTCACTGAATGGATGAACAAGTAGCTGCCTGAATAAATAAGCTTTACAAATTCTGGTTTAAATGAAATTAAATCAAATTATTTACAGAAAGACCTTTAGAGCCTTTAATATATTAATGTGGACTGTGATTCTTTGAGTGTTATATCATGTATTAATGTTCCTGGGACCAGTTTGGGGCTGTATTAATGCTGAAATGTGGCATTTTTAAGAAATCAAATTTGTTTTCACATATAACTCACATCTTAAAGACATATGCAGCCAGCATATAGCACACATTCTTGAAAATCTCTTTTTATGCATATTATGCCTGCTATATCCCTTAGGAACCTGTTCTCTGCTAACTAGCCTGATATATTAATTTGTACTTGGATATAAATGTATAAAACTGCCTTAGGATCTTTTGCTCCTTTAATATGTCATTATAGCGAATCTCCATTGTTACTAGGAGCAAGGCACAAAAAATGACAGTGGTGTGCTGGCATAAAATGACTCCCAGAATCGAAGGTTTTGATATCCCTCAAGTTGCATCCTGCAAGCACCTATTTATGTCCCATATTCCCAGGTTCTAATTGTTGACTGGATTCCCCATGATAGAATCCAATATTGATAAATAATTTTTATAGTCCTTGGTAATACTATGTTTAAAGTGGCTTTAAAAAATTCTGACTGAATGAATTTATGCTATAGAAAATGGTGTTACAGGGGCTGGGAAGATGGCTTAGTGGTAGAGTGCTTGACTTGTATGCATGAGGTCTTAGGTTCAATTTCTCAGCACCACATAGCAGAAAAAGCTGGAAGTAGAACTGTGGCTCAAGTGGTAGAGCACTAGCCTTGAGCTGAAGAGCTGGGGGACAGCACCCATGCCCAGAGTTCAGGTTCCACAAAGAAAGAAAGAAAGAAAGAAAGGAAGAAAGGAAGAAAGGAAGAAAGGAAGAAAGGAAGAAAGGAAGAAAGGAAGGAAGGAAGGAAGGAAGGAAGGAAGGAAGAAGGAAAGAAAGAAGGAAAGAAAGAAAGAAAGAAGGAAAGAAAGAAAGAGAGGAAGAAAGAAGGGGAAGAAAGAAGAGGAAGAAAGAAGGGGAAGAAAGAAAGAAGGGGAAGGAAGGAAGAAAAGAAAAGAAAATGGTGTTATAAACATCTTAAACTTAATAATGGTTCTACTTATTGTCTTTTGACCTTATAGTAATGTGAAAGTGATATATACACATCCAGTAGAAACTATACTTCAGATTTTGAATTTTGTTCCTTCCTGGGCTAGAGATTTGTGCTATAGTACTCTCTTTCAGTGCTGGACAGTATCATTGAGCCTCAATCCCATCAGCCACATGAGGGGAAATGGTGGATATCATGGCATATTTACTAATAAGTTAAGGTGTTCCATATGTTAGGTGTATTTAATGCATTTTTAACTTATGATGGATTTATCTGAGTGTTGCCAGAAGGTTCCCTGGAACCCCCACCACCAACGATCTTCCAACTGACATAGAATAAGGAAGGCTGTGAGATTATAAACAGGCTCAAACAGATCTTTCAGAAACCAATCTTTCAGAAACCAACCATATCACCATGAAAACTTCTATGCAAAGCATCCACATGGATGAAGATTTCACATTTATTTTCAGAAACCAAAGGTAACTGGATTATTTTGTTCCATAGAACTAAGGTCCATGGGCATTCCCCATCACAGACAGCTCATTCGGGCACATACCTATTCCAGATGGCTTCTTCTGCCTTCATGGGTGGTGGGGAAGTTAAATGCTAGACACTGGCCATAAAAACTCAGAGAGACCAAATGATCCTTTCTTTTGTTTAGATGTAGGCTTTGTTAGAACCTGTCTGTGGTTTTTTTTTTCCTTACTTTTTTTTTTTTTTTTTTTGTCATGGGACTTGAACTCTGGGTCTGGGCACTGCCCTTGAGCTCTTTAGCTCCAGGGAAGCACTCTGCCACTTGAGCCACAGTGCCACTTCCAGTTTTCTTGTGGTTAATTGGAAATAAGAGTCTTGAGGACTTTCCTGCTCAGGCTGGCTTTGAAGTGTGATCCTCAGATCTCAGCCTGAGTAGTTAGGATGACAGGCATGAGCCATCAGCGCCCAGCTGTTTTCCTTACTTTTAGGGCATATTCCTTCCTGGCATCTCCACTGTGATGGATCTTGAACTCTAACTTCTTAATTGCAAGTTGAAATGTGACTGCTCCACTTGGTGAATTGGCCCTGCATCACTGTCCCTGAAGCATCCACATGGATGTTGTGGATGGAAGTCCATGAGACTTGGGCGGCTGAGAACTCCCTTCAATCCTTGTGATATATGCTCTGAAATAGACTTGACTCCTGCCTGCAGAAACTTGGAGTTCTACTGAGAAGTTCAAAGCATTCTACCTTAACCACCACAGGCTGGGAAGTCAACCTTAGAAACAAGGCATGAGTGTTTTGGCACCTAGCCAGCCCATGTACATTGATCTGTCAAGTCCAAATGGACATTTTATCCATGGACTATTCTTAGTGTTTACCACCTTCTGACTCTTCCAGTTAATTCTTGATCACATTTTAAGTCCATTATGAACATAGTTATTCAGACATACAAATTACCGTCACAGGAACTATGTGAAGCCAAGATTTTTACAGACAGATGCCCTGATAAATGTGTTTTTATTTGCTGTGAATAATGTCTGCTTAGTGCCATTGGAAAAAAAAACCATAATTTACATTTTCCATTAAGAAGAAAGCAGCAATGGTATGCAGAGTTGTCAATTATCTTGTAACTCTAGTCAGGATTATCCTGGGGTTAATTTGTGAGAAATTCAGCTATTTTAGCAGAAAAACTACTGATTAAATGTAAACTGTTTTAACCCCCATTCCAAAAGCAAAAAGGAAAGGAAAACAAAAAACAAGATCACCGTTCTGTATCCCAGACTCTAGCTGGAAATCTAGAGTTCATCAGACAGCTTGATGACAATTTCTTTGGGGAAGCGGGAGAGGTTGGGGCTGTGTGGAAAGCCAGTTAACCAGGCTCTTGAGTACTCTTAGGGCTCTCAGGCAGAAATTCAGATGGCTCCCTTTGCATTTCCTCTTTGACAGGTTTGTGCCTAAGTCTGGAAACAATGTTACAGGGAGTGGATGGCACCAGTCTTGCTCTCAAACTAATGGTGGTAACAAAGTCGTCTCAGGCTTCCAGGCATTTGACTTAAGATGACCCTTACAATGGATAGCCCACACTCCTTCTCTCCAGCTGCCAGGCCCTCCCCTCTCACTTTCTGTTCATCTTTCTCATTGCTGACATCCTGTTTTCTACAGTCAGTCGTATCATTCTCCACTGTTCCTGGTCAGTGTAGCCCAAACCCCATATCCCTGGCATTGTTCCCTTCCTTCAAAGCAACCAAAGCCTGCAGCCACCAGAGCCACCCTGTCATCAGCCATGGCTTCTTTCTTCCTGTCATCCCAGTCAGAGCTTCCAGGGTCTAGTGCCTCAGCACTGATAGACCACACCTGAGAACCACTTAAAGGCCAGGACTCCTACTGATGCTATTTCAACAGTATCATAGGTTCCGTGTAGTGGGGAATGGCTGAGAAATCATTATCTTTAAGACGATTCAGGAATTTATAGGGGGAGTTTCTTGTGATCGACAACATGCTGTCCTTAGAATTTTCCTTTTTTTAAAAAAAAAATTAAGAGTCCATGTCTGAAACCTAATCTACCCATAGGCCAGACTAACAAATATATGTGCATCTAAAATCAGAAACATTAGTGGGGATGGGAGTATAGCTCTGTGGCAGAGCACTTGCTTCGTGGGCCCAAGGCCCTAGGTTCGATCCCCATCTCTGAAAAAAATGCATAAAATCGGAAACACTAAGTAGAGATGTATTCATAAGAAATGGAGAGAGATACATTATGATCAATGTGACTTAGGAGAGGCAGTGAGGGGAGGGGGTGTAGCAAGGACTGGATCCCTACTTAGCTGCAAGGAGCTGCTGCCCTGCCCCCACCCCCACCCCGCATCTGTGCACTCTGCTCTACCCCACTTTTAGAAGGCAGTGCAGCTGGGTGCTCTAAGCCTTTGAGCGATTGATAAGAGTATGTGCTGCTCCATTCATTAGCCATTCAAAAGCACATAAAATAGACAGAAGATGCTGAAAGCAAACACAGCCACAGCTTGACCTCTGCTTGCTAGGGGGTTGGCCAGGTCTAACAGACAGACTGTGTTGTGTTAGGTACCATCCACAACAGTGTATAACCAGATAGATAGTTCAGGTTCAGCCCTGACTCCTATCTTCATTTATTGCCATAATTATTCTTAAGACCAGCTGTACAGAAGTATCATAGGCAGGAAATAAACTTCCCTCTGCATGTCAGTTCTGAGTTGCACCTCTCTATGACTCGATCTGTGTTGCCTATCCCTGACATCTGAGCCTAATGATGGGTAAGATACCTTGCATCAACTTTTTGTATAAGTCAAGGACTGAAAACATGAGCTTTCTTGTGAAGCTGTTAACCATTTTAAATTCCAAAACTAATATATACCTTTAACCTGATTGCAGATTGCCGTATCCCTCAAATTGAAGATGCTGAGATTCATAACAAGACATACAGACATGGAGATAAGTTAATCATCACCTGTCATGAAGGATTCAAGATTCGGTACCCTGACCTGTACAACACGGTTTCATTATGTCGCGATGATGGGTCGTGGGATAATCTGCCCATCTGTCAAGGTACGGGACAGAGCTGCACTTGTCAGCTGTACTATCTGGACTGCATCGTGTCTAGAGCAGCATAATAGAAATGGTGGTGGGAAAATAGAAGAGCATCTATTCCATGTGAGTCCTCCCATATCTTCCTGGGGACTGCCATGTCTCTGCTTGTGGAATCTCCATCTAAATCCCTGTAGTGACTCAGCTTCACACACACACACACACACACACACACACACACACACACACACACACACATTCTGTGCCAGTACTTGGGCTTGAGCTCAGCCCTCAGTTCAGCCCTTGGACTCAGAGCTTAAATTCACAGACTAGGCACTGTCCCTTGGCTTTTCTTTCTTCTCAAAGCTGACACTCTCCCACTTGAGTCACAGCCCCACTTCTGGCTTTTGGGTGGTTAATTGGATGTAAGAGTCTCAGATTTCCTGCCCAGTCTGGCTTCAAACCTGGATCTTCAGATCCAGTTAGGATTACAGTCATGGCTCCATATACCTTCCTTTTTAACATGTTGCTTGTGTTCGTTAGTAAGTGAAAGGTAGTTTTAAGGACTATGCGATATAATCTGGGCTCTGAACACAATGATGAACCATTATATAGCTCATTATGTATGTAATGGCAATAACAGAGTGCTTTCCTTTATTTCAGTGAGAATATAGAAAATCCCATCTGACAGGCACTATTTTCTCTTAAAAAAAAAACTCGCTTTTTTGGGGGGGAGGGGTCGGTTGTGGGGCTTGAACTCCAGGCCTGGATGCTGACCCTGAGCTCTTCAGCTCAAGGTGAGCATTCTACCACTTAAGCCATAGCACCACTTCCAAAACTAGCCATTTTTTAAAGCATAGAAAGCAGAAAAACAAATTCAGATCTTCACCCTATGGTGAATATTTATCCTTTCAGATTTGAAAGATTTGCCCTAGCCATATAGAGGTCTCTCCTTGTTTGTGCAAATAAGCCCTCCAGTTCACATTAATTCTCATTTTATTTTTTTTTTTTTGGCCTGAGATTTGAACTGAAGGACTGAGAATGCAAATGCATAATTCATTCTATGAGGGAGAAGGAGAGCAATCTCATTTGCTTCCAAAACCTTGGCATGTTCAAGTTGAGACAAATGTTAACTTTGTGCTTGGAAATCACAACTGGCAGGCTCTGGTATTACTTTGTGTGCCCCATCATCAGAAATAAATTGTTTTCTTACATGGGAGCTTAAGAGTCATGACCCCGTGAAGGAACACGGGCTGCAGAATTTGAGAACACACATAGCCTGACCATCACACTCCCTGCCCTGCCTTTCCCCCACAGCCGCCTGTACTGCTAGCCTGTCTTGTATTTCATTTCTAAAGGAGACTCGGATTTATTTACACATTCTGAGACTGTCTACAAAAGAAGCAGCTGGCTCCTAGATTGATCTCCTTATTTGAATAAACTTTATTAACCACTGATTCGTTCCAGGTCTCTGGCACTGTCAGAGTAATGGCGAAGAAAATCACCTAGGCTCCCACTACTTCTTTTCTTACCTTTTTCCCATATGTCCTTGCTCTTTCCCTTTCATCCTTTTTTATTTCCTTTTGTGTCACTTAAATATACTGTGCTTCCTTAAGAGCTTTTTTTTTTCCCCAGTAATTTTTGAACATCCCATGGTGGTTGATCTCTTGGGATGTCATTTTGAGGAGTTCAAATACCTGTTTTCCCATTGCTCTGTCTGGCTTGCCACCTTATCACCCATTTCACAAATCCTGTTTCAAGCCATGAGGTAGAACTTTGCAGCAACCAAAGAACTGGCTGACTTCTCTCCATCTTTTTCTCCATCTTCCTTTCCCTCTCCCTCTTTTTCTTCCTCCCTCCCTTCCCTTCCTCCTTTCCCCTTCAGTCTCCCCCCCTCTCTCTCACCTCTCTCTCTCTCCTCTCCCTCTCTCTCTGTTCTCCTGATTGAACCCAGATCCTCATATATGCTAGGCAAGTGCTCTACCATTGGATAGAACCCTTAGTGCCTGGATGGCTACATTTGAGAGATGTGCCGCTTCAAACAATACACTCATACCCTGTGCTCATTTCCCCTCAGAGCCCTCCATCTCACAGAGGAGATGCCCTGGCCTGTCTTGTGACCACCCCCCCCCCCACCCCCCTACTTTGCCTCTTGCTATACAGGTGTTCTGCCAGCTGTCACTGCATCAGCTTCCTCTCTGCTGCTCACCTGGCATAGCACAAGGAATGAGGAATCCGAGTTGCCTTTGACAGCCTGACACCTGGCTGAGCCCCCTGCAGGAATTAATTGGCCCTTAGAGTGACATTTCATTCTGTAACTTTTATTTGCACCTATAGATCCAGGGTCTAAATCCTGAGGAAGCTCCTCTCTATTATCTAGAAGTGCAAATGGAAATCCCATTGAACTATTGAGTTGAAGCCCATTTTCTCCTATTATATGTAGGATGGACTATCTCCAACCAAGAGTGAACAACCTACCTTTTCCTCTCAGCTCTGCTTAGCTGCACAAATTTTAACCCCTGCCATCTCCTGGGCGTGGGAAGCTGCTAGAAGGCCTGTTGGGGTGGGCATTTTTTTTGTGGGAACTTTTACATTTTGGAAAGCAGTGTTCAGATGCCTGCTGCTCACGATGGATCAGAGTCAGTGTTTATTTAGGAGATACCAGTTTATCCATGCAAGTAGCTTAGGGCTGTAACTTCTTCCTAGGAGTTCCAGATTCCCACCCCAATTTTACTTTTGCCACCAACATTGCCACTTTTCAGATCAAAAACATGTAAGGATGTACGAGTCTCTTGAAAAGATGGTTGAGCTCCTCTACTTATTCAGATCTAGTTTGTCCTGAGCATTGATTGGTTCAAGAGCAGACAGGGTCAGCTGGGATTGGAGAGCTCTGTGCCTCAGGGCACAGCAGTGGCAAGCTAGCTACTGCACACCAGGAGAATGAGTGACTCTCTAAGTCCTGCCCTCTGTGCCTCACTTAATCTCACTCACTCTGATGTCCAGATGTCACATACTGAGGTGTCCATGGAAGAAATGTGCCTAAGAGATTCCTTCAAGACATTCTCAGTATTTGGCAAAGTCAGCTCTGGGGAGGGTTTAGTCATTTGCCATTGTGCCTAGGATATACACACAATCTGTATTTGCCAGTCCTCATCACAAACACATCCCCTCCTCAACTCTACTTCTGGACTCCTTATTTAACCCTCTCAGTGACATTGGCAAACATACAAGCAAACCTTTGCCTCCTAAATGTAATAAGCCAGTTAGAAGATGGAAACTAAGCCTAGAGACCAAGATGTTTCCCTCCTCGGAGCCATGAGGCAATCCTGAAGACTTCCAGAGTTCCATTTGACTTTTGAATGCACTAAGATGACCAAGTGAAACCTTTCCTCCTTCTTTTATGCTTCCCAGGCTGCCTGAGACCTCTAGCCTCTTCCAATGGCTACGTGAACATCTCGGAGTTCCAGACCTCCTTCCCGGTGGGGACTGTGATTGCCTATCGCTGCTTCCCTGGATTTAAACTTGAGGGGTCCGAGTATCTTGAGTGCTTACACAACCTTATCTGGTCATCCAGCCCACCCCGGTGCCTTGCTCTGGAAGGTAACACATCTTAGCCTTTAGAAAGTTATATTTAATAGCTTTGAAGTAGATTTTTTGATAGGCGATGCTACAAGTTAGGGCCAGCAATAACTTTAGTTCTTGGAGTAATCTTTCCATGTCTCTGTCCACAGAAGAGATCATTTGCCACAAAGCCATACCAACTACATGCAAAATTTGCTTTCCCCATCCTGAGGCTTAAAGCAGTAGACAGCAGATAAAAGAAAATCTTGTAGGCCAGGTGTCTGTGGCTCATACTTGTAATCCTAGCTACTCAGGAGACTGAGATCTGAGGATCATGGTAAAGTCTACCTGAGCAGAAAAGTCCATGAGACTCTTCAGTTGAACAGAAAAATCCATGAGACCCTTCAGTTAACCAGAAAAAGGCCAGAAATGGAGCTATAGGTCAGGTGTTAGAGCACTAGTTTTGAGTGGAAATAAAGCAAATGGACAGTGCCTAAGCTCTGAGTTCAAGCCCCATTATTCACATACATATACACACGTGCACACACACACACACACACACACACACACACACACACACACACACACACAAATGGTTGCAAGCATCAAAGGTTAAGCTGCAAAATATTGCAAAGTTAAATGAAATGCTTCAAAACTTAATTTTCTCTGTGCCAAATGAAAACAGATTGCATTATGGCATCATTAATCTCACTCCTCGTTTTATTGTTGTGTCAATGTCTCTTCCATATCTCCATGCATTTTATAGCTTAGCTGTAAATGTTTCACTGCAAGCACATCCTTGGAAGCCTGAGAGCCAGAGCTCCTTCTTCCGTGTTTTTATGAAATCTGTATGGTTATAAAGTTGACTCACTAAAGACCACTAATCAGAGGTCTGAGTCAGTGAGGGGGATAGAATCCATTGCCAGCATCAAGGCAGTATCTGGGGGTGGAGCCCATAAACTCTTCTGTAGTAGGCAAGTCAGACACAAAATTCAGCCTTCTCTTTTCTTTGATTTGGAAACAATGCCTTCTGTGCTTCTTGGCATATGAATACTTGCAGGGGGGATTGTCTGTGGAAAAAGTGAGGGGGGACTTTAATCAAGAGACCTCCTAGTATGCTAATAAAAAATTGCAATAAAAGTAAATTAAAAAAACAATTTTAGAGAACCCTTCCACACCTATTTACAGCCTTGCTTGGGGAAGAAGCAAAATAAGAAACAATAGAATGTAGAAGTGAATCAGTTCTCACAAGTTTAAAGCAGCTCTGATGTAGGAGACCAAGGAGGAAAGGATGTCATGCAGGTGATGATCAGAGGAATTGAAAAAAGCATTGGTTTCTAAGTGACTTGGAATGAGCTTGGCCTGAGCCAGTGAACCTCCTCGGAGAAAGTTGGGAAAGAAGAGGGAGGGAGGGGAGAGGGAAGAAGGGAGAGGAGAGGGAGGAAGGACACCAGGTTTGTGCTGTAAGTTTTGTCATACTCCTAAGATAGCCATAGAACCTTCACTGACCCCCAACTTATTACCCATCCCAATTTCCCCAAGTGACTGGAGCCAAGAGTAGAGCTGTTAGCTTAAATATGGGACATCAATTAAACATGGATTTCAGATAGCAAGTACTTTTCCAATAGGAGCTTGTTCTAAATATTGCATGGAACTTGTGGTAACAATAACAACAACAACAACAATAATAATATGCTTTATTTGAAAGTCAAGTAGAACTGCATATGAATCTTTGTTTGCTAAATCTGGCCATCCTAACCTGGAAGGCCAAGATTACCCCCTTTGTTTCCAATGGAGATAGTCTTTCCAGACACCTATAATAGGCCAAGGTACATGTCTACCATGAAAGGGGCTACTTTCCTAGTTTGCCTGGTGTTCTTCCTGCTCTAATAATCAGATAGAGGGCAGTTTAAAGATGCCATTATCATGATTTTTAACCATTTAAAAAGACCACTTTAAAAATCTTTTCAAATTTGATTGGACTTTGTTTCAAGCAGTCGGGTTCTGATCATCTTTATTTGGGGGATTTGGAAAATTGTTTCTATGGGGTCCAGAATATGATATGGATAAGATGTAAAGCAAATCTACCTTCCAGAGGCAGTGGTGTGAGGTTTTAAACAGAGAGCGATGGATGAGTAAAGCTGCTGAGAAATGAGTCCCTTCACTTACCATGCTCTTTTGCTGCTACCAGTTGGCTCCAGCCAAGGAAGGATGCTGAAAACCTAGGCTGTCAAGGCCACTTAGTGTTTTCGTCCTTCATGTTTATTGTTGTTACTTGGAGGCTTTGTTTTTGTTTTTGGGGGCGGGGGAAGGGGAGTGTTTTCTTGTCATTTACTGGGTTTTTTTTTTTTGGCAATATTAGACCAGGGGACTGAACTCAGGGCCTTAGGGTTGGAAGACTAGAACACCACCATTGATCCACATCTCTAGTCCTGGTTTGATTTACTGGTTATTTTTAGAATAGGGTATCGTTTCCCACTCGGGCATGTATCTGAGCCATGATCCTCTAGTTTTAGGCTTCTCATTTTCACTGGCTCTCCTCTATGGAGACACTCTAGTGGACTTTTCTGCTTGGGGCTAGTCTGGCACTGAGATCCTCTCAATCTCTGTTTCCCATGTGGCTTTGAGGTATCAGGTATATGACACTCTACCCTGCTATTTGTTGAGAAGGAGTCAGATTTCCTGCCTTGGCTGGCCTCAAACCTCAGTCCTCTTGTTCTTAGCCTCCGAGGATATGAGCCACTGATAACCAGTTTCCTCTGTTTTTTTTTTCTATCTTTTAAAATTTATTGTTATTATAAAGAAAATGTACAGAGGGGTTACCACTTTATAAGTCAATAATAAGTACGTTTCTTTTTGGACAATGTCACGCCTTCCTTCACTCCCTCCCAATTTTTGCCTCCCATCTCCACCCACATATTGTATAGTTCATTTTCATGTGTCTCCTGAGTGCCTCAGTTTTATAAAAATAATGTTTAGTTTTACTTTCAATATGTTATCTGATGGAATTCGTTTTTGAACCCTTTCAAGGAAACACTATCTAAATGTACAAAAGCTATGATTCCAAATGGAGAGGCCCAGAGTAAATTAAAGAATTACTTTTCTCAAGACTAGACAGAAACTGGGTTAAAGTAAGCGTGAGTGGTGCTATATGCTCATAGTCACAGATCCTTGGCAGGCTGAAGCAGGACGATCAATTGAACACTGGAGTTAAAGACTGGCCTGGGCAACAGAATGAGACTCTGCATCTTTAGAAAACAAAGGATGCAACGAGTTAAAAGAAGAAGCAAAGATTCTTGAGAACGTTTTCTAATTGTGTCTGTTGTTGTTACTTTAATCTTATATCTTCTTTTTAAATATCAGGTCTTTGTTGATGTAATTTTATTGTAAGATATCCAGCATAGATGAACCGTCCCGAGGAAATGTATCCCTTTAATGTGTCGTCTACACTTTCTCCCCCTTGACTCAAATTATTTGCTGAAATTGTGATTTCTTCAAGAAAACGCAGTGGACATTTTGCGCTGTGCTGTAGAATCATCTGCTGATAGGGGCTTTTCCATGTTATAAGTGTTCTGAGCCCACAAGCAAGGGACTGTGTGGACAGCGGCTCAGTGGGAATCTTTCTCTATGGGCTTCTTATCCCTTTCCTATCTTACTATCAACTGTCAGTGGACCTGTCACTCTTAGGGTACATGTCACTGCAGACCTCCCCCCCACCAACCCTTAACTCTTTTTCTAGTCTTCTGTGACAAAGAAGCTTGGATTCCCCAAGCTGATAATGGAAGAGATGCGAGTATTGATTAGAAGTGGTGACTGACATCAGACTGGCTGGCTATTTATGTGTCAGGATCTTGCCAAAGTGTCGTTTGATCCTCATAATGTCCGTTGTCTGCTGTCTGTCCCATCGTGTTGATGAGCCAACTGGGCTTCTGAAAGCTTAGTAACCTACCCGCGCACTCATACCTAAGGGGGCTGGAACTTGAGTGTGGATATTGTCACTTCAAAGGTGTGGATCTTAATCACCCAGGTGCATCACCTAATGAGTTGTTCTGATTACATTCCAGTGGGAGGAAAAGAGTTTGGTATTTTCATAGTCATTTTTAAAGAGTCAAAAAAAGTTTCAAAGGCTTGTTGTGTAGGAAGGAATGTGTCTGTCCAGTCTAGCTATCCTCCTTGAAGAATCCCTGTTGTAGGAGATTGGAAGGTCAGAGCATGGCCCTGCTGCCAGTGCTCATTGGTTCACAGTTCTAGTGGAACCTCACTTCGGCTAATGAATTGGGCAGAGATTGTGGTCTCCTTGTACAGACAGAGACACTCTCACCTTAGAGGATGACATGACCTGTCCACACCCTCTAGCTCAGTGCAAGGATCTTCCTGCTGCATGGTACCTCCTCTCCTTGGTGGAATAGAAAACCAATGTTTGAGTGATGGCTGTCACACTCACTTATGAACAATCCCATCATCTAGATCTGGCTTCATGAGGAGCTGGCCATTTGAAAAGACAGACTGACAAGTGCCAACAAAGGTGGCAAGAGTTCCAAGGACCAATATGTAGATGTGGGCTGTGCATTTCAAGGAGCTATTGCAAGTGAGCACATCCTGAAGCATGCCTCATCGACTAAAGCCTTTGACATCAAAATTTCGGGCCTTGGAAGATGCTCCATAGATCCTTGTGTTTGGGCTTTTTTTTCTTTGGGCCCAAGTGTTTTTCCTGACCTTGGCATAGCTAAATTCTTTTCTTCCTTATGCTGTCATGGCCTTTGAGGCTTTCATCTTTGTCAGTGTCTTTTTTATGCACACACACACACACACACACACACACAGAATCCAGAACACCAGGAACTTTTGATAATGAGTGCAAGGAATCTCTCATTTCTAAATGCCAAGAAATCCATTTCCTTTGCCAGCAGTGTTTATTGAACAACTGCTAGGCCCAGAGAAACACTGGAGTAGACCCCAGGAAATTGCAAAGAAAACCAAAGAACATAATTTTTTTTTTTTTTGTTGGTCGTGGGGGTTGAACTCTGGGCTTGGGCACT